TGAGGAGGCTGGCGTAGGCGGTTTACTGACTAATCAAGCAATTTCAACTCCTTCATTCCGTCGAGTCTCAGCAAATCGAACCCCGGTTGGTGTGTCACGAAACAAGTTGTGTTGATTTGTTGGCCTCGGAAAGCGATTGGACAGTGCAATTCACCAAGCAATTGTAACCTACCTTCATGTACGAGTGTGGGCCGCGACAGGCTGCTCCACGTGTCGCGAGAAATCAGAATGTTAGCTGAAGCAGTATCAAGTTGTAAGTTGACTTGTATGCCACTGACTTCCACCATTCTGTACTTTCGCTTGTTGACCTCGACAACTTTGAAATTCGCGGTAATCGAGCTGATCCGATTGGGCCGTATGAACGGCATGACATTGTTGCGCCTCTTCCTTGTCGAAGTAGGACCACTTGACAAGCAACACGAGTCTTAATGACCTCTCCCGTTGCATCGGTAGCAAATATGATTCTTAACTGGACAATGTCGAAGAAAACGCCGTCCGCTACAAAACCAACAAGCAAAGGGAGATTTGGAATGTGATGGACTCACGTGAACTGCTGCCTTTTGGGGAGTCTGGTTGACTGCACAGATGAGGTCATGCTCGTTCGTAATTGACAACTGACGAATCATGGAAGTATCGTGCTTCAGGTTCGTCATCCTTCAGCACTCATTGGTCACTTGCTGCGACATGATGTCAAGGTTCTTTTCAACCCTGTTCAGTATTCTTGTTCGAATGGCTGCATCTAGGCCGCAAACGTATATGAGGCACTTGTACTGATCGCCAGTCAACTAGTGCAACTGTGATCGCACTCGCGATCCACACTGCACTTGTCTAGATAGGATCAAATATGCTAGCGATCTCCATTGTCTGGCTGTAACTACGTTCACGTCTGCGCAGTAACAACCCGCACCACGATGAGCAACTGGCTCCGTCAGCTGCCCTGGATTGCACAGCAACCTGTGTCGTGGATGAGGAACTGAGTCAGTCAGCTCTCCGCGTGATCTACTGTAGGCCCAACCAGTGTCTCGAAACCGTATCGCGGCATTCATTCGTTGTGGTCGCCCAATATCAAGATAACATATGGTGGAACTCTAGGTGCTAACAAAAGTGGCAAACTAAAAGCGACTGAGAGGCCATAGAAGAATCACCAGTCGTGGGCTGATGTCAGTCGGCTATCCCACTAGCTGGCCATTTAGGCGGTCAGATAGTGTTGTGGCGGCGTTTCCCACAGAGTAGAACGTGTAAGCAAGACCAGCCTCATGCAGCTACTCTTGCTCAACGAGCCGAGTCTCATTTTGTGCGGCAATGTCAAGGCCGTAGCGCGAGGGTTCCATCGGGACCAGTGCAGTGCGTCGCTCAGGACGTTCACTCGTGTTCCGGCCATGTAATGTATGCATGTACCAACACCCGGAGTTAAACGCTTTGCGCGGAGGCATACGAGTGAGTGGCGGTCACCTGGATTGAAAGAAGTGGTGGGTTAGGCGAAATTAAGATGGAACAGTACGTAGAAGAAGAAGAAAAAAGGGAGGCATCGGCTTTGTCTATCCACCCCGTTGTATGCAGCGACTAAGGCGACATATCTCGCTCCCCACCACTGCGCGGCGGCCGATGTAGCATAAATTACCAGTGTTGGAGAATTTCATGCTTTGGATTTGCGTACTGCCAGGGCGTCCACACGTAACAGGAGAACGACTCGGGCCCTCAGCAAAGGCCTTTGATACAATGTATTCCCGAAAGGCAACGGGCCAGGTGCAATTACTCAGTGAAGCGACTCACGTGGAATTATGTGTCCTGGATCTTGGATAGAGAAGGGGTATCAACCAACTCCCACCCAGCAGTCACCAAGTGGAATCATCTAGGATATGAGTCCAAAGCACAAGACCAAGAGATGTAGATCAACAATCAGTCAGGATCTAGGATCACAAGCCACACCTAACCGTAAACTCACCCGCCGTCTGCTATACACACACACACACACACATATATATATATATATATATATATATATATATATATATATATATATATATATATATATATATATATATATATATATATATATATATATATATATATATATATATATATATATATATATATATATATATATATATATATATACATGGTTGGCGGCATCCGGTTTCGGATTTGCCTGTCACTGTGGCCAGCCACAGGACGCCTGTGCCTACAGAGGGACCATGAGTGGCTTGCGCTGCACCACCCACAGTTCCATCCATACACCCCATATCCAGTGTAAACCCGAAGGAATAAGACCGGGAGGCATGTGGATGGAAGCCACGTTTCATCAACGGGGCCGGCCCACAGTCCTTCACAGGCAAACACAAGCACGCTGTAGTTGGGGAATCAAGTGCGCACAAGGCGGTGGCTGGACCGTTGTCCGCTCCACACTGAGTGCATGGAACCACTCTTCGAGCACTCCGTCCCCTCCAGCAACGACCAACTGTCTCCTGGAGCCAGATGGACGAGGTAGTGGGTAATAGACATGTAGGCACCTTGTCAACATGCACATCAAGCGCAGCCACACCTGGGATGTCAAACAACAGCCAATCATTCGAAATGCCGATATCGAATAAAGTGAACGCATAAGACGACCTAAATACTCGCTAAATGAGCATTTGGAGGAAATTGGTTAAACGTGAATTCGCGATAAGCACGAAATGTCCGAAAGTCACTTAAAAATACCACGCGATAAAATTACGCAAGTTTACCACAATTTACATGGGCGACGTGTGTAAGTTGGGAGATTATCAAAAACAAAATAAAATGTAATGAATTTCATCCACATTAAAAAGATCTAGTTTAAGTGTACGTTGGTTTAGCCCAACTGCAGTGAAGAAGTATCATGAATGCGACATCAATGGGGCATATATATATATATATATATACATATATATATATATATATATATATATATATATATATGCTGAGGCTGATGTCGCATTCATGATGCTTTTTCACCGCAGTTGGGCTAAACCAACTTACACTTAAACTACGTCCTTTTAAGTTGGATAAATTCCATCCTAATTTATTTGATTTGTTCTGCCTACCGGAATAAGCTTCTATTAAATTTCCACGTTGCTTACGGTAATTGTGCTTATTTTCGTTAACTTTATCGTCTTTGTGGCATTTTCTGAGTCAATTCTGGACAGATTTTACTTACCGCGAATGCGTTGCTAACCAACATACTTCATATGCTAATTTAGGGATGAGTTATGTCTGCATAGCCGTATTCTTTAACAGATATATTTTATTTGTTACTGTCATTTCAAGTGATTGGCTGCTGTTTGACATCCCCGGTGTGGCTGCGCTTGATGTGCATGTTGACAAGGTGTCTACCTGTCTATTACCCACTTCCTCGTCCATACTGGCTCTAGAAGATAGTCGGTCGTTGCTGGACGGGACGGGGTGCACGGTCTTTGTGGTCGTGCTAGGTTCGAAGAGCGGTTCCATGCACTCAGTGTGGAGCGGACTACGGTCCAGCCACCGCCTTGTGTGCGCTTGATTCCCAAATACAGCGTGCTTGTGTTTGCCTGTGAAGGAGTGTGGACCGGCTCCGTTGATGAAACGTGGCTCTCACCCACATGCTTCCCGGTCTTATGCCTTCGGGTTTTCACTGGATTTGGGGTGTGGTTGGTTTCGGATTTGCCCGTCACTGTGGTCAGCCACAGGACGCCTGCGCCTGCAGAGGGACCGTGGGTGGCTTGCGCTGCGCCACCCACAGCTCCAACCACATACCCCATATCCAGTGCAAACCCGAACGAATAATCTCGAGAGGCATGTGGATGGGAGACAGGTCTCAACAATGGAGCCGGCTCAAACTCTTTTAACATGCACAGCAGCAACATCCCTGTCTATCTATGTGGGGAATCGTTTGCACCAGACGTACACAAGGTGGTGGCTGGGCCGTAGTCCCCTCCACACTGGATGGAACCACCATTTGAGCCTAGCACGGTCACGAGGACCGTGCTCCCCGCCCTCAACCCCTGCAACGCTTCAGTCAACAGCGGCCAGTAATCGAGGTGGAGGGTGTTGGATAGGTAGGCAGCTTGTCAACATTCACATCAAGCGGAACCATACCGGGGATATCAAACAACCAACGGAATTCAATGGAAAGCCAACACGCAAGATTGACACCGACTATGCAGCAGATGAACAGAATTGAACGAACCAAATAAAGTGAAATGACTTTTATCCAGAGTAAGAAGACCTAGTTTAAGTGTAAGTTAGTTCTGCCCATACATTCATGTACACATACGCACATAGACCCCGTATATTACTGCCGATTTGACAACAATTATGGATCAATCCTGTTTGTATTACTATGATCATGCCTATCCAAACGTGTCTCGCACTGTCAAGAATAAAAAATTGATTTAGGAAGACTAAAATATGCGAATTTCAACAATTTGCGCTTCCAGTGTTATTCCGTACTAACATTCCAATCGTTCCGAACAGCTGACAAATATGGCTACTAAATGGCACATACATAAATTAATAACGTCTTAAAAAGTGGAGATTAATATAACACGTGTTTCAATGGAGCAAACCAACGGAAAATTGCAGCACGAAGATGTGCAGCAAACAGACACACGGTATGGTGCACAAATGATGGGGTATCATGCGTCATCAACTAACATCAATGTTTCGAAAAATGTAGGGTCACTAATAATACGGTGTCACATGTAGTAACCATGAGCTGGCTCACGCTAGTGTTCAGGGATTATAAGGTTACGGACAACATGACGTTCAGACTTAGATCAAATTTACACCACAACATTTTGTGTTTCGTACGCTTTACCAAGCGAATTCGGGTTGGGTATGCGGGTCGGATGAACTGACGTCACGGGCCTGATTCGACCCGCGGGTCGTAGTTTGGTGACCCTGATATACGGTTATCGATAGTGACTGGAATCGTTAAACTGAGCATCCTAAAGAAGTTGCTTCCCAATTATAATTCAGGAATAGCAACAAGTCGGGAATTAATAAACACCATCACTTGCGCAGCGAGAAAGAGACGGGTGTAAAGGAAATTGCAAATCAGCCTGCAAGAGAGAGCATATGCAATGAGTAGAACGATGCAGCGCGCTGTATTTCTTGCTCCATAGGAAAGGAGTGTAATCTCAAGGTTTTAACCAAAGAATATAGGGGGAATAATTGCGCAAAAACGCACATCAAAGGAAGCGGATCGGGATATCATCAAAAAAACAGCCGACAGGAAGTGACGACGGGGAAGCTCAGTTAAATGCGTGGTAAATAGAGGGGGAATCTAGATAACAGTGATAGATCGTAAAATCGATGGAGATGGCAAGGAGGATGAAGAGAAGGGGAAAAGTTAACGCCGAGATTGTCTGGCCCTACGCTGTACTTTGACGTACCACGGGGTGGTAAGAGCTCGACGCCTCTTTCGAGGTTTCCAGTTCGACGGCCGAGTTGGCGCGATTGTGTTAAGGTCAGGCAGAGGCTTCGGAGGACCTGTGTACACGGAGCTCTTGAAGGGAGGAATTTTAGGCTTTGTGCCTGCAAAGTGGAAGAATCAAAGTGGGATTGGGTAACTGCGGAAAGATATCTGAAAACTAACACAAAGCAAATATGCGAAAGCAAGATGACTATAACAATAAGACGGGAAACAACAAACAGTAAATGTAAACAAACCAGTGAACACAAATCTGTTAAGAGATTTAAAAATAACACCGTTAAAAAGAAAGTAAAATGCAGCAAGCGAAACAGTATATAAGGGCATCCTGTTAGATAAAGTCTCTAATGAGAGTCGGTTCATCGCGAGGTCGCCAACCAGGAAGATAGGACTGCTCGGCCAAATTAAGCGCATAGAGCAAGTGTTTCACGTCATGCTGGTAAGTCGGTAGTTAATGATTCATCCATCCGAGAGCAGTGTCTGAACACAACAGATGTCAATGTAGGCGGTTGATAGGCACATGAAGAAAACGACCAAACCAACAGAGGCGGATCAAAGTTACAGATGTTTTGGGGTGGGAACACAGTTTGCCATCAAACAGAAAGCGGCGTGCCTCATTCAGCAAACTGCATTCGGTAGTTCCACCAGAGGTGAGTAACACTGCGCAAGAATAAGCAGTCAAAGATGACAAATTTGTCGGAGTTCCAAAGGTGCGTTGACTAACACAGCAGCTCCGAGTGTATTTCAGACTTGTTCCCACTACACATGACCAGCAGGACAAAAATTCGCCGTCTAGGAAGGTGGCTGGAACTGAAGTTATTTCAGCTTAACCTTATAGTTCCACAAAAAACTTCTCACCGATTGGCCCTTAGCCTTAATGATTATAAGCCTGCATTGTAATCCGAGAGCGCGGGTTCGAGCCTGGGTAGGGACCGCGCGACCCTCGCAGTTTACTTTGCCCACGTGAGAATAGTGATGGTTGCGCGGCAGTGAAGCGTCGGTACTGTGTGCCGGAGTACTGCTGACGCCTCTGCCTCCTCACCGAATGTATTTCCAGACCTACAATTTTGTCATATAGTTGCAGTGAAGCGTTTGCACTATGCATTATCGGAAGGCAAGTAAACCGCTTTAACCGAGACAGTGTCACCATTTCGACGACTGCGTGATCTCCTAGGTGATACCTCTGTTAGGTAGCAATTCCGTCACTCTGACAATCGCCTTCGTTCCTATTATCAGGCGCTAACTACGCCAACTTCCGATACGGAGGCCAGCCGTGCTATAAATACTGAGTCGCCTTTCGCTTGAACCGTAAAAGCCTTTCGATGAAGCTCATTGTATTTTTCTCTTTCAGAAGCCGTGATTAGTCGTGTGGTATCGGTGTCAGTCTCGGTATAGTGCGGTAGAAACCGCGGAGTGCACCAATTCGAATTCGACCAGCTACTTTTCCGCGCGCGGCACGGTCTACAAGAGCCAAATCTGCCACTCCGACCAAGGCGCTGTAGGCAAAACGAGCACGGTGCAAGAGAACCACTGCAGTAGATTAAACACCGGAGGTAATAAAGTAACTTAGATAGGTAAACAAGTATATTGCCTTGAGCGGCGTGTCAGCCCAATCCTGTAAGAGTGCAAAACCCGGGCTCAAGAGTTTAATGCTCCGCGTTAGTCTTAAAAGGAGTGCATAGGAGAAGCCAGACCCCAATTCTTGTTCATTCGATCAGTTACGAAGTAAAGGCAGACAGGGGTGTAATAATCTGCACCATCATGAAGCGAACGAGAAGAGGAGAATCAGGTCTGTCTATAAATATCCCATTTGATGCAAACAACTCAGGGAACTAGCCACAGACCATCAGACAGCCTAGGAAATCATAGTGAAAGAACTTCATAGACAAGGAGTAACACCAATGCACCATTCAAAGATATACATGATTAAATGGCCAGCTCAAACAATCAGATAAGGGGCGGCTCCAGTCTATCATGACAAGTAGAAAAAGACGCAATGCGATCCGTACACAGGAGCTTCAAGTGATTCGGCAGACAATGAGATACTGTTGGCCGGTTATTTTGTCCTTCGAGATACAACACCTAAAGTTCAGTGAAATCGAGACTTCTCGATAGCTTCCACAAATGCACAGCCATTCAAAAGTCGAAAGATGTAGTCAACTAAAGAAGCAAGTGGTGTTTAGCGCCCTTCATGTCACACTAAAAGTGTTTCCAATGTCTGTTCGGCTCACTCTGCGCGTCAGTTAACGATTGTTGAGTCCAAGGTAAATTGACAGTGTTGCGTCACAGAGTGAGTTCAAATAACGAGTAAAAAGTTGAGAAGTTGGACGATTCGCGTAAGTGGTGAATTCAAGCGACAAACGAGCTCAGAATAAATGGTGATCTAGTCAATGTTACAGCAGAAATCCGCTGAAAAATCACGCAGTGAAACACGCCATCTGAATTCATATTGTTTTGTTCGGCGGGTGACGTGATACGAAGGTATTCGTTGTAAGATATTCAAGCCTCGGTAAAAAAAAGCAACTGAAGGAGCCGATCACACGACATGAATACAACAACCTATACGCTGTTCAGTATTTGCCAGGCAACTTGTTCAGGCTTGCAAACCACTTGTTGAAATCACAATGATTAAAACCTTGAGCACCTAGACTACAAATTTGACATGTCAGTAAAATGTATTCTTGCCTATGGTTGTAGTCGCTTGTGGCTGACCGCCGCGCTTGGGCAGATGCAATTCGCGACATTCATAAAGCCGGTTCATCCTGTCGCAGGAGCTAGCCGCAGTAAAGTAAAGTAAGTTGTAGTCGGTAGGGGCATAGATGGAAGCAGAAAGAAAACGCACTATTCGGTGTCGCTTATAAATTTACTTGTATCCAGCTGTCGTTGGGTACATCCCCAATAGCGCCAACATCAGCAGTCATTATAAACAGCACAATTCGAAGCAAAGATTGGAAGCCTGTGAACAACAAAGAGGTTGCTGTCTTGTATGCGCTGTTCGGAGATACAGCACATTCATTCCAAGAGAGTGCAGGGTTAGAGCCAGTGATGGGTATTGACTGATTTGACGTACAATACTAATGCTAAAATGTCTGATGTGAATTGAGAATCTGCGAGGGTACGGGCAGTTCCTGATTGGTCAACATGGAAACGGAATTGCAAGACAGGAGAAATAAAGGGAAAAGAAGCTAGGGAATTCCGGTAACGAAGTCTTATCGGTGGATGATGCCTTCTGCAGCCCATTTCGAAGCGAGGTTTTGTTTAAGACTGCAGAGTTGGATAACAAAGGGAATCCCGCTTAAGGGACAACGATAGCAGGGGCTGGTTAAACTGTTTGGCACAGTGTTGTGGTAAGTCGTGATTCCGCACAAATAGGTACTCGTTGTAGGAACTAAAATAGTCGCTTGCGCAAGCAAATGGATAAGCCGTGTGGTCGTGTGGTCACGCGGTCTCCAAACCACAACGTAGCGGGACTTAGCGAACAAAATTGTTCGCCAAAACTCACGCGCTGTCTAGTAATATGTGCTATAATTATGAGGGTGTGTTGACCTGTATCGACTTTCTGCGGAGTCAGTGAAAGTATTCATGAGGATTTGTCATGCTTCTTCTCCCTCTCGTTCTGATCCGCGTGCGGTTATGGGGGTCAGGTTCATTTCGTATTGTGCCCCTCACTTAAATGGCAGTTTCTACCATCATCTATACGGCGGCCACGTTCGCACAGGCATTGTCGCGTAACCGGTCCGATTTGCGTAATCGTATAATCGGCGTGTGGGAAAACTCTAGGTGAGGTTTCATTTGGGTGCATCGAACGATAAGGAGAACCCATGACACCCACAGAACGACTGAAAGTGGGGTCCGGATCAGAATGGAGACTGTGGAATTATGGGGATCTGCTTGAAATCGGTTATACGTGAAGCATGAGACCGATCAGTTTATACATATTCCGACCGTGGTAAATGACCAATCACAAGTGAATTTTGTGGAGTAACATTAATCATGAGACGCCAATTTTGGAAAGTGTAAAAATCAGTGAACGATGGTGGTGTGCTTTACTGCCAACGAGCTCATGCTGTTCGTGGTTGTTGCTCATAGTTGCATATCAAAAGGAGATGCGCCGATCTACCCCCGGTTTGCTGTGAGCAAGGTGGTGAGGCCGAGTCCGTCTAGCTGCAACTCCTGATCTATCTTATATGAGCAGTGCTCAAAGTGCTTGAAAATATACGATGGCGTCGATCGATGGAACAAGGGAGTGGGCAAACTATCACATCAAGACTAGGCCCCATTTTGGCGCGGAGGGCATGGAGCGTGTGAACGGTTCCATGTAATACAATGGACGGGATAAACTGAGGGAAGACAACATAGGGAGAGAAAATATAATTACAAGAAGGTGGTGTAACCAGCGAACAACATGCCACTTTGATTGCTTGACAAAGGTAAGTGGCTTTCGGCGACTAAAGTCCCACAACCACTGTTTTCGTTCGAATAGGGCACGTATATCTGCAGAACCACACCATGAAAAGTAACGAATTACGACACCAAATCAAACGGCCTATGAGCGTCAAATTGACGCAGACAGGACAAAGAAAGATGGAATATGACAGTTTAGGTTAAAAACAATGAAACAAAAATGAGCAGACAAGGAAAACAGCAGCGTAAATTGCCGGTCTGTGGTATACATCTATGAATTATTGCGAGCCGTCATAGTGCCAACTCCCCAAACACTAGTCAATAACTTTTCTGAGCAGCTTCGCTGAACTCAGTCGGCGCAGTAGCGTTTGCACTCTGAGTCAGGACGACAGCTACAAGCAATGAAAACGGTGAATGAACCGTGTGCCGATTACAACTGCCCCCGTAGAATGTTTCGCGCGAACTGTAGGAGGATATATGGAGCGTTTTCGTGCTTGTTTGCAGCGAGGAACAGGATTCTACCAAGTGATAATTTCAGGGTACCCGCATCACCATGAAGTAGCGTCTGGTAGGATATCGCAGAATAGAATGGAGGAGCTGGTGGAGAAAGTCGGTATTATCAGAATGTGAAAGGAGATTAGATAAACAGCAGATCAGTCGCTGTTGAGATGGTTCGTGGTACAAACGGGACCAGATATCACGTAGGCCCGTCGAAAAGGTGATACATGACCAAAGTGATTTGGCTGCCCCGTAGTCGAAGATGCATCCATCCCTCCTCGTAAATTGTTGTGCATTCTAGTGCAACTGACGCCATCCACGAAATGGTCAGTTTGAAGAGATGCAAACGACTGAACAGGGAGTAAAAATAGGTGATCAAACTTTTCTGATCTGGCGCACAACAGAATAAAGAATACAAAATGGATAGACCGGAAAAGTAGTGAACGTGCAACGTTACGCGAAATCGGTGGTTGACGGGCTACGATATCCAGACAAGGAAACGTACCGTTAAGTCTCCCCTTCCCTTTGGAGCGATAATCCAAAAGATATTTTATTTCGTGTTTAAGCTGTTCTTCACCTAAATCGACACATTAGACGCAAAACAAAAAAAGCAATCTTACGAAATAGACTGTCCATGAAGTGTTTCCCCTGAGGTCCAGTGAAATAGCGGAGAAATGGTTTGAGTTTGTCGTTTAAACACCTGCGATGAAATCAAAAGAGGAGGGAAGCGGTAAGTAAGGTCCATTACTAAGAATATCGCCTGTGAAGTGGACAGTGAACAAGAGTTGATGAGATCGACTTTGTTAAAAATTGCGAAAGAAACTATGTGTGTGCATATTCCCTAGCAGCATATAGTGAAGAATTGCGCTCCCAAATCAGTTTAAGCAAGCTGGTGACCACAACTGCGAGGTATAGTCACTCTACAAGTAGGGATCAAGAAGATTGGGTAGCCAGGGTTCCTGGAGCAAAGGCCCAAACGACTGAAGCAAACAGTCGGGGCCAATGCGTCTGCTTGTTGCCAACAACTCACAGTCACAAGCAGTCGGCTACAGTGCGGTGTCAATAAATGGACTCCTTATCAAAGCTCACTGTTGGCAGAAACAATAGACGTCGCTTAGCAGAAGTGACATGGCGACTGCTCCTTAACGCATGAACACAGTAGAATAGCTGCTGCTCAGGCGTTAAAATCACGGTAGCTGCCAACATGCTGCTACGCTAAACAAAAAGTAGCAGTATGCCTATCAAACACAGTAGAAAATTTTATCACTTGATAATATACAAATGAGATTCGGCAGTCATTTGGTGAGACAGGGACTGCACATTGGGAAATGCACGGGATGACGGTTCCGATCCTCCGACAATCGTGGGAAATACCCAATTCATTGGCACCTATCTGGTTAGAAATCGCGACGGAAATCTTAGGAGTCCGTGTGGTTGCGATAAAACTTTTGCGAAATTTAGTATAAATCCATGTTTGCAGTGCTCCCTCAAGATATTAAGATTGCGCCTATAGGTTTCGACGAGATGAGCATCAAGGCAAACTGTGGCCATCTCAAAAGGACAGCTATTCATTTGGGACATGGTGCGGTACGCAGTTGGTGAGGTTCTCCAAAAACATAAGTATCACGGTTATTGCTGTTAAATCCCTGAAGAGCTCATCAAACTCAACAACGAACACCGCTGTGTACAGCTGTCTAGGGGCGATTTCAGGATGTAATGTTCCACCAGTTTTCGTTCTTCTGGATAAACGGAATATCGAACAGCGCGGACCAGCCAATTTACAGCTAAAAATGACTTATGAAATCCATATAAACTGCCAAAAAGGAGTTTCTGGAAATAATACCAGTTCCAGTCTTGAATGCGGCATCATTGGTGAAACAATCGGATAAGTAACAGCTCTAGTAAAGCCCTATAAAACCTGAAAGGATCATTCACTGGAGGTCTGTACAAATTGATCTGTGCCGCTATAGACACAGTTTCTCTCATCAAGAGAAATATACTTATTATTATTATTATTAGAGCGTTTACTTTGAACGATCAGGAGTGCTGCCAACCACGTCGGCACGAACAACTTTGGTTTCCAAGTCTGAAGCATAACCTGATGCTCTTGCAGCTGTTCGCCGTCCTGTAGAATACCCTAACGGCTACAATCAGGCCCTGCGTGAAAGCGAGAATATTCCGCATTAAGCTTGGGAGCATCCTTGAGAAGAACTCCATGTTTTTATCAGGAATATCGCCAAACAAAGCTTCTAGGATGAATCAAACAAAGTACAGCTACTAAGAACATGAAGGCGCTATATGCAAGAAAACAACACCAACGGAAAACGTATTTTATAATTCAATTTCAATTCAATGCAAGAAAGTGCTTTATGCACTCATAAGGGTGAATATTTAGCTGGTACACAGACGCTTTCAGCATAGTAAAAGAAATAAGGCAGTAAATGCACAAGTGAAGTAATAAGTAGCATCAACAGCAGTATGGTTATGATGCGAAGTTGTTTTTAAACACCCGGACAACTGATGTCTGGTCGCACAAAAAACGTACCAGATATGGAGTAACGGATGAGTGGTAAGCCTTTGTGCGGGCAAAAATGGATCTATACTTCTGTCTGGTTGAGGATGTTGATACACACTCAGACAGTGCATTATGAAAAGGGTGAGTTGTATCAGTAAGTATTCTCGAAGCAAGCCTTATGCATGAATTGGTGTGAGTGGACACAAGAAACTCAACAAAGGTTGGCTTGGGAATTCCACTACACCGAGATAATTGCGTCAGTGACCTACGTAGGAGTTTGAAGTGCTCCCTTAGGAAAGCAGGAAAAATCACAGTGGAGCAATAGGTCCAATGGAGTAAGACACATGCCGTGAGAAGTCGCAGAAGTAAGTGACGGGAAACAGAGGAGGATCGCAAACGAAGAGCATAAAACGAAAGCCTGCCCACCTTTGTAAAAATATTATTAACATGGAGTGACCAGGAAAGATCACGAGTGAGTGTTACACCAAGGTACTTCAATGATACTCTGGAGTGCGAATTCTCGCCATCTATGTGAAGTTCGGGGTAGCCCATGAGGAGTTGCTGATAAGCATGGCCTTTATGTAGGGAGAAAATGACGTTATTACATTGTGATGCATTCAGCGATAAAAAGTGAGCTCTGCACCATAAAACAAGGGTGTCCAGATAGGATTGTTATTTAGTTGATGAGGGTGTGGTCGGTTGTTGCATACTCAAGGCTACATCGCCTGCATATTTCAGCAATGTAAGTGGAAAAGTGGTATGGAGATAGTATGACCACTTGAAGAACTTCAGTGTCTGTGGTGAGCAGCGAGGAAGTTTTACCCCCGTCGAGTAAATTGGGCACATCCAGTGAAGTAATCTCACAAAAGGTGGACAGTAGAGAGTTGAATTCCGGTATCGTGCAGGTTCCTCGAAAGAAGCTCACGGTTTACACAGCCGAAAGCATTACTGTAATCGAGAAAACACATGCGTACGGGTGATAGTCCGTGCGCACCAGTTGCTTTGTTGGAGTTTATTGCGTACTGTATTTCTGTCAATGACAGGTAAGGTGGTTGTGGGCCGATCCAATAGTGGGGAAGAAGGGTGAGAGGTGGAGTTGGCATTGAAGCAACAGAAAGTTTCGATTCGGTTCTTCTAGTTCTATATCTGAATTTGACACTCGGTTAGGGACTCCATTAAATGGTTTCACCATAGGCCAGACATTCTGCAAGCTACTATTTCCCAGTATGGTCTGGACGTATAGGTGGTTCAGTCAGCGCAGCTCAATTTTGAAAGAAAAAGATTTCACCGCAGCATGGTCTTTCGTTTTGAACGCCTTCTCTTTGAGTTTACGCAGGCATTTTAGGTATGGAGATGAAAACCGATCCGCACGGATAAAAATGGTTTCCAGTAGACAGCAAGTATCAAAGCAGAAGTTGATGTAGCTCGTTAACTGGTCGCACTATTTAGATACATCTTTGTCAAAATATATGCTAAAAGCGGTGGATGAAATCATTTCCTGGAGTCGATATATGTTCCCAAGTAATCATCGTCTTCTTTTAAGTCTGTGAGCTGTACAACGAGTAATATCCCTATGATTTACTTTGCTGTATATGATAGGAGATCAATGGATAGTTGAGTGGTCAGAACTATTAACCGGTGCCTGATTGCAATTAAAAAACAGCTTCGCAGTTAACAAATATAAGGTCTATAATTGGTTTATAGTCTGGTGGGGGAGTTCACAACGTTTTGTAGCCCAAGGTCTATGAGAAAAGTGGTGTCAAATCTGTTGAAATCACCAGCAAAGATGCAAAGAGAAGAATCAATGTGGTCGATGACACCTGGGGTGCTGATCGTAAAACTCCTCGGCCTCAGAGGAGGGAAAACTGGGGACAATGTAGATGTTTACAAACCCATTAAACATTATGGTTTACATTTCAAAATCAAACAGTGAATACGTGGAAAAAAGCAAATTTTTTGTTGAGGTGCGCCACACAGGATTGACACAAGTGACAACACCTCTGCCGCGGCTCTTGTAGGTAGTTGACCGATCGACACGATGGCGAATGAAACTCGATCGCTACAACCTCATCGTCCATATCTTTATGGAACCACGTCTCTTAAAGCATACTTACGCCAAGCTTCGAGTATTCACGACAACGAAACACTTTTAGTCTCATCCATTTTGCTTATAACTGATCGGACATTTGAGCTTACTATAATAGGTGTACTCATAATCCGCAATGTTCACTTCCGCAGAGCAACCCTCCATCCAGCACAATGCTTTTTAGTAAAATTATTGTGCGTCTTGTATATCAGCTTCAGTTTTTTACAGATTGTCAGTAAAAAGCCGTGACGTTCAAAAGCATAGAAACACATAGGGATTTTAAAATATCGCGAGTACAGGTCATCATGTCATTGAAGTTTGTATGGATTTGGTAGAGGAAACAAATGCAACAATTGCCCAGAGCGTGAGTGTAATTAATTTTGCGGATGGAACAAAAGAGCAAGGCCAAGTTTGAAGACCCCGCCACACATGTTGGCAACGCAAACAAGACTGAACCAATATGTTACTAAGGCAAAAGCATGGTAGTAACCGTAAAAAAACGACCGATCACTGGCACAGAAGCAGTGATTCCGTAGATGCATACACATGGTTATTACCCTCCGTGATCCAGTGGATTTGATTACTGGCCGATAAGTGGGACGTTGTGGATTCTAATATTTTGGGGGCGGAACCCGGCAGGGGTCAGCTGAGAGGCGCACTACTGACGAGACCCAGAAGGTCGACACGCCGGAGTCTGGTGCTTTTCCAGACTAGTCTAAGCCTGCTGATTGTGAGTGATGATAAGGAATTAGTTGAATTTTGGTTTCACAGATAAGACGTGCGACGCAAATGCGTCGCAAAAGGAAGAAACGGCAGGCTAGCGTTTTTCCGGATGTAAAGTGATCAAGCACCCTTGAATTTGACAAAAATCCCTTACGCCACTTTACGAAGATTCGTAATCGTTTAACCTGGCCTACGACATTATTGGGCGGTGGCGGCTCGGCACCGCCGCGGCATTTAGCAAATAGTTATTTGGTTACAGTGGTTTGTTTCGTCTTAGATCGCCCAGCAGTGTTTGGAAATGATTAGAAAGATAGACCACGGGTTGTCGCTACTTTGGAGACCGATAGAATGCTCAGGACTAGTAAACCCTCAAAAGACGGTCAGTGGTACTATGGATTTTTGATGGTTGATGTGCTGAGAACGGCTGCAAGGAATACCTTTTGAAACCGATCAAAATCTCCCTACACCAATAGCAAGAAAAAAAGATACATTTTGAGGCATGAAACTGGAAAGCACGGACCATTCATACGTGAGGAAAATTCGGAATCTGAAAGCAAAGTGCAAAAAACTGCCGTTACGTGTGTGTGCTATGTGGGAATGCTACAGAATGAAACAGAATACCGATAGATGAACGAGCAAAGGTTGAAGGCGAGAAATTTTGGAACACCTTGAGATGAACGCCCAAATTGGCTCAAAAATAATCGACGCAAAAGGTGGAGTCAAAAGATTATATAATGGTAAAACTTACAAAGACGTGTGGTTTTCCACTGCGCCATGCTTCTCTTTTGTCGTGGCGTTGCAAGTATCGGTAGACCACTTGGCAGTTGCCGTGTGAGTCACGTTCGCAGATGCATTCGCGTTGACGGATAGACCGCTGGCGACAATGGGGGTGCCGCGACTGGCTCCGGAAGATTTCAACACAAACGGCGCAGCGAGCCAACTGCCTGGGGGCGGGTTCTGAGATCCGTACTCTGAGGAAAACACGTTGGACTCTATAGATGACCTCTTTATAGGAGTGTCTTTCTGGCCGGTCAACTTCTCCAAGGGAAAGGATCGTCGGAGGGGAGGACGACCGCGCCGCTTCACATGTGTCTTCGGAGTAGCTCCAACACAGCCCCTCCAAGGTGCCCGTTTCTTGATTCGTTTGTTGAGAATAAAGGCCAGAATTTGAGCGATAAGTCCATGTTCTCGAGATATTTCTTTACGACGCTGACGCTCGCGAAGTCGCTGCATGTAAATGCCAACTTGAGCAACCTTTAAAGCTGAAGGTAGGTGAATGGAGTAAATGTGCTACTTTGCGCGTAAGGTCAAGAAACAAAAGTGCGTTAGGAGACCAAATTTGTTCAGCGTGTAAGTTAAGGAAGATAAAATTGTGTTGTTTCTGAACGGTTAATTATGCATACGGGAGGAGGCAAAAATACCCCGGAGGAAAACCAATTATTTCAGTAGGAAAACAAGTTGAATGAATAAAACCCAGCAGAGACATTAATTTGTTCAAGTAAAATCAAGTCCGCCAGGTGACGCAAGTAACTACTTCCTGACGGGTTGACGCGGCTCTAAACCGATAGTTTTTGGCAGCTGAAAATCTTCGACATAAATATGTGTTGAGTGCAGAATACCCATACAGTTTCAGCAGCCGTCTCGTCAATACGCTGTTACGTCTAAATCAATGACTATTGATTTTGAGTAAGATTTAGCGCGCACAACAAAGGGACTTTTACGAGAAGCATTCAGCTCTCGTGGTATGGAAATAGTGGGGCAGATCGCTTCTTTTTGGAGACGGGAATGATAGCGGATAACCGTCAAATAGTGGGCCATGTCAAAAAGTGGCTAGATCAATTCATTAAATCATTTTCTCCCGAGGGCATGATATCCTGGACTGATACAACCGTATCAACTTGGGTTGAGCTTTATCGATGGTGCAAGTTGGGACACAGCTAGCTCAACTACTGATTGCGACAAAAGCATGGTTGAAAAATCCCTCCTCGGAATACTAAGATTGGATGCATCTGATTTCAGCAAATGTCCATCATATGAGGGGAATAAATCAGTAAAGGCCTGTGTAGGATGAGTTACAGCAGTACTCGACTGCACCGCATCGTATTGGTTATGCCAATCACACGAGCTCTCGTCATTCACGACCCACTAGTCAATATGGAGACTCTGTCAGTAATTTCGGTGTGCAAGGGATATACAGAAACTGACCCGCGGCGCGGTGGTATCAAACTCATCAAGCAAAGTAAACGAAGTCCAGTAATCCCATTCAGTAATCGGATATAATACGTTAGGATCTCCGGCTTCTAATATCTACTCAACAGCGTAAAGGATGCGATTCTAATCGTAACCGCTCACCTGTGAACCATTTTAATGATGCTTAAAATACTAGAACAGCCCTACATCTCCGATTCACTCAGCTCCAAGGACGACATGGCCTGGAAACTGGGCATCCTATCCGGATCATCGGAGGTAGTGGCGCGTGTGCCCACACTAGCGTTCGAAGCCAGGTAAGAACATAAAAGTGACGGAAAATCCTGAGAACAAATATGCACTACTACGGCTGATGATGACAAGTTAGATTTACGCCAAAAGCAGTCTTGATTCCCTGATATAGTCAACTCCGTAGGAAATGTCATGACAACGAAGTGTTCTAGCACATGGATCGCGAATGGGTCCTAAATGAAGAACTCAGCCGCCATTACCAGTATGTTAAAAAGCACCGACCCGACAAGTGTTACTTAGTGTTCAATGCCTACAGAGTGTCAGGTAGCTTTGTGCATTCTTTTCCAACGAAATGTGGATACGAAACAGAAATAGAAACAGCGCGAACTGATCTCGCGGTTCATGTATCGGAATGATCGAATAATCACTAGTGACCACACTAATTGTCGTTAAATGCCGTGTCCCTTCCAAGTCTCGATAGATTCTGTTAGCAAAGGGCATGCTACAACATGAATCAGAAACAATGTCACTGCACGTTTAAGACCGAGTCTTTAAACCTCCGTTTTTGCCAGATGTGCATACCTAGTAGAAGCAACAGCAGGTGAGCACTGTGGAAACTCATTGGAGTCGCACTGAAATGTTTGCTAAACTCGAGCTGTACGTGTGTGGACTGCGTCGTGAACCTAGTACGTTCGTTGATTACATACCACAGCCTGTGCCATTTACTGTCGCTGCAGTAGCCAAACGAAACCAAAGGGTCATCAGTGGATGACGTGACAAAACGGCATGAGGAGACTAAGTGAGAGATTTTGTCAGATGGTTAAGTGCAGCTTTCGTAGATGGCGGATTCAAAGCTCCATCCAACATAGTGTAATCGCGAATTAAATGGTGTCCCTGTATTCGTAATTTGTATCTAACTACAAGCCTTCGATTCGATTAATGCGACCCACTAACTCCCTCCACCGCGTATTCTGCGGCGCATTTTACCTTCCAGCATCAAAGCGCACGTACGGACAACCTCTAACTTCCAGCACAGAGCGTAGGTGGTCGAAGTCCCACACACAAACTGCGAACAGTAAAAAACCCGCTGACGTAAACGTACACATGGAGGAATACACAAACCGAAAATTGCCCCCAAGGAAAATTGGCGACTTTCAGCGTTTTTGGCAAATTTGTTACGATTGACGATATTTGTTCGTAGACATTGCTTTCTACGGCTGCGGAAACATAGTTTGCAGCAACATATTGTGCCAATAATACACAAGCTGTACGCCAGTTCGATCGCTCGACACATACTGCACTGCGTTACGTGTCAAAATTAGAGTGATTCATTTAAGATACCAAAGGGACAGAGCATTGCTCACCTACTGCAGTTTGATGTGGCTGAAAACTATTATGTGTTAACGGACAGAGTTCGTGGTTAGCCAGTCTTGCCTGGGTGAAATTGGTGACCGCGATTGGAGAGACGTACTAGTACAATTAAATCTTGTATACTTATTGTTTAACTGGGTTTTGCTACGGCATCACAGCATAAATTAGTATGAATGATTTATTTACTGTGATAATGGGTTTTTCCACCTGAGCAAGTTATGGCAGCAGACTCAAAAGAGCAGTCCAGAACAACGGACACGCTTTCACAGCGTACAGCTATAGAACGACACCTGTGAAACGTGATAACTAGGGAAGCATAAGAAGTATCGTGCGTCGCAGCTGTGCGAGAGATTCAGCAGTGGGCGTATTTCTCGGTTCGGTCAAGCGACTTCGACATACAGCTGACATTCCGCATTGGTCGCCCGAGCATACAATGGAGGAAATAATCTCGATTAAAATTTCATACGTCGTACTCAGACAAAGTGGGAATATTTCCATGCCGCTACGATTTTTCGCGTTAACGATTTTCGGTATGGGCAATTTTCGGAGTGGGCATTCTTTATGCGTACATTTACGTCTGTGGTCATTTCGCTGTGCACAAGTTCCGTGTAAGTGTTTATCATGAGACCGTTCGCAATGGTGGTGCGCTTCGCTTCTGTACTTGCAGATGGCCAGGCGTCTGTAGCAAGTTCGATGTGTATCGCACCGACTGGTATCCCTCAACTGATATCGTAACCCAAGGCACATCACCAGGGTCCATCTTGTTTCTGGTCTACAATTAACAAAGTACATCAGTTCTTCGGTTACCTTTGGCTTTTTGCGAACGACCTGGAAAGTTGGGAGGTACTTGGTGCCCCGGATGATCACGAAGCACTTCAGCGAGACTTTGTTTGCCTTTCCATGGGGGCCTTCAGAGGACAGTTCGCTGATCAATTCGGCCAAGTCATTGTTAATGAGACCGGATAAAGGTGGAGATGGGTAATGAGCAGTCTGGCCAGCTAACTGCTGCATCCCACATCTTACGTGAATGACACAGGTGTATTCGCAGGCTGCGTAAGGAAAACGAGCGGAGTATACCCAAACGGACTGAGCATGTGTTGGGTGCTTAAATGCAGTTACTGCAACTGAGCAGAAGCGATTATCAGTCGCCTTTTCTCTGTCCTCATAAGGCGAATGCTGGGGCGCGGCTTATCCACCGATTTTCCGGTCACCGGTGGTGAAATGTAAAAACCTGACGCTGTTCAGCATGTTACCACTAAGCTCATTACCGGTTAACGAGGTATGTCATGTGAAGACGGATGTATGAGGCTATGACTAAAAATCATATTCTATCGAGTTTTGATTTGGTTTCATAATGACTCCCCCGGGTGCAATAGCCGGGTGACTTCCCATGCTAAGGCGGCTGTGCCATGTGCGTGCACCGAGTATTACAAGCAGTCACCAGGTACAAGCTTGTAGTACCGGAATTGAAATGCATAGTTCACCTTCTATGTTTCGACTGAAAAGTGGCGAAGAAAGTGGTGGAGACAATAAGAGAGGAGAAATCAGTGTGGAAATCCAAGAAAGCTATAGACACTCAGCTTTTAGATTATAGATTTAGATAGGATGTCGCACCTGGATATGACATCGTACAACCGTGACATTTTGTGTGTGATAATCAATGACGTTATCCCGCGTGTGCCTGATCATGCTTCGAGAGAGCAACACATAAGCATATGTCGCTCAGTGTTTAGTATTGAATATGATTGAGTATTAATAACAAAGTGGACATGATCAGGTCTTCGCACTTGTTGCAATTCGGAAATATACACTTAGCTACTACACAAGACCACCAGCTAAACCGAAAGATCAGAAGTCAAATAAGCTTAACAACAAAGCTTAATAAGCTTAACAAAGCTTAATAACAAAAAAACACGATGCAACTGAAGCGAACCTTTGTCGTGTATATAGGTCACTTAGTAACCTTCGAGTTCTGGAATAGGAAAGTCAACTGGATGTATGTATGTATGTATTCTCAACAGTCTATTAGCTAGACAAAGAGCCAGCCTAAAACCATGGAGATAAGGAGATAAGCAAGATTCATGGCGTCATAATCATCGTGGCATGCTAGTTGAAGGTGAGCAACACACTTCAACTAATATGCCGCAGGAAGAATGGAACATTTTGATAAAAAGCAGAACAAACATTTTTAGTTTGTTTTTCACACGCCGCTTTTGTTCTTTTTTTGTCATTTTAATGTTTGTAGAATTAAACATGTGAATCAATACAATAATGTACACAATTCTTCCACTGATTCCGGTTGCGGGCCATATCTTCAAGAGTGCTAAGCCATTGGCACTCCTCATCTTTGGGTCCCCATCCTGGAAGACGTACGGATCCTACAGCGGCTAGACACGACGTCAGCGATTTCATGTGCTGCCGCCAAGTGGAAGGCTGACCACCACGCGGTCGC